GCGAAGTCGAACGCAGCCGAACTACACCAGCAAATGTCACTGTCGAGACTGAATCGGTGGACTTCTTCGGGCTTCGTCCTATCGAAAAGGAGTTGCTCCACCATAACTTGAGGCTTGTCTAATCCAGCTGATGATTTCATCGCTGCCGTCCGTGTAGATTTACGTCGTGGTTGCTTTGCAACATCGGCGTCCTTTACATTGGTGGCGTTCCTTTTCCTTCCACTTGTTTTTATCCGGGGGTGGCGTCTCCGATACCGTTTGATTTCCTTCGTGAAGTCAGAACTCAAGTGATCAGTGAATGTGTCGTCGACCCAAAGGTGCAAGTTCGTCAGCAGATACAAGTGCGTCGACGTTAAATCCACAACCACTCCTGTTCCTGAGCATACATCTTCTGAGGAAACTCTGACAACTGACCTCCACATTTTTAGTTGAACTTGAGGGTCCACGGTAGAAAATTCCTTAGCGCTCCAAGCGCCATCATCCACTGCACTCCCCGGAACCACCACTAGCACGTGGACAGGAGTCGTTTTTGCCTTCACGTCTTCCTTCGTGACTTGAAACCGGACGTCTTCCTCCGATAAGCCAACAAATTTAAGCGGTGCTCTCGCAACGTCCAATATCTCCAAATCACTTGTGCCATTCAAACCCCTCGCTTCTTCTTCCGTCACCCACGCGCCACGGCCCTTGTCTTTCTTCGCGAGATATAGCTCTAATTTGTTGGCCGCGAAGTCAAACTCCTGCTCCTTCTTAATTGCTTTTTTCAACGCTGAAACGGACTCAGCATCGTTGATCTTTACCTCGAACGCGCTTCCCAACTCACCAATAACAGCACAGTACAAAGTCAACATCTTTCTTCGAGCCGGCGGATTCGGAAATGAAAGTGAAATGGAGAGAATTTCTGTTCGTATCTAAGCGAAAATGAAGGCGTGTCACATAGACTTGCGTGGTTGAATGACACCTGGCGATAAGAAAAAATGCCGACGTAATGTGCTGCGCTCAACGAGGTTAGCATGATTTTTGATTCGAATAAATCCTTCTTTGCATATAATCCCACTGTTGCTATGTGCGGTGCTTGAAGGTACGAAGAAGGTCTTACTCGCACCAGAGGCGTCTAAAGAATTGTGTCTTTAAAAACTGCAGCTGTTGTTGAAGAAGCTTTAAAAGTACCCTCGATGCGAAAATAAAATGACGTTGTGATGTTCTAAATATTACTATTATGACAGAGGTACTACGAAGATTCGGGTAGAAGTAGCTCGTATCAGAATCATCTGTTTTGCTAACGAGGTTAGACCTGAGGGCAATGTTGACTTGTCTGACTCTCATAAACATTTTCAAGCTTGACATAGTCATCACGACAGAATCCTTCGTGTACGTGCGATTCCATGTGGTTTCCCTTGTAAAAGCGAAAGTGAGGGTCAGTCTTATTATAGTCTTTATTTGGATGAAAAAAATGTAGAATGCAATCGTACGCACGATGTGTATTTAAAGTGGTCAATCTATCGTAGGCACCATATCGTAGTATCACTTCCACTGCTTATCGATTTATTTACGCCTCTACTCCATGCATACGCAAAACACCTTCGGGTTGAACATAGACAAATGTGCGCATCTTCAAACCATCCTCCCACGCAACAAAGCCTTCCTTCAAGAGCAGTGAGATCCATTTTGCGTATCTAGCATTCAACGCGCCAACTATCAGTTTCACCTATAGCTCCAAAACATATTGTCAAAAAGTGCACCAAGCACTCTACCTTCTATCAGTTTCCGATTACCGAACGTTCGGACACGGATTCGACGGGAATTTTCATAATCGGCACGTTCTACATTCGACCATCGTACCAGTCGTGCGTGGCTGACGAAAGAGCAAGGCAATTGTTTGGGTCGTTGTCATACTTACGACAGCTTGGACAATTCCGGCAATGATCTCTTGACATGAAATGACAGCTCTGCGCTTTCCCCACATCCCCGAATCACTCTTCACTCTCGATACGCTGATACTTAAATTCATCCGTCATCATGTCAAAGATCGTGGTGCTCGTCGAGAGAGATAGGATTCAGTATCCTGCGGAGCATAATACCGGGTGTAGATACGCCGTAGTTCGCTTCACTACCAAGGACTACAATTGTAAAGACAGCGTGCCGTCGAGTGGGGACATTTGTGTAATACAGTCATCCTGTAATACCGTGTCGACCAGAAGAGCATTTTCTTTTGTAAAACACAATTAGTCCACCAAAGAACCATAACATGCAGCGTTGAGTAACTTACCTGACTTGAATATAATATGAATGCACAGCTTCTTGTCTTCGTACTATAGTGCATATCCTTGTCTCCGGTGAGCGCGCAGAATCGTAGTAGCCAAGGTATGATGCCACCAGCCGGTAAAATCTGCAGTGCATACCTTTTGCGCTCAACGCGCTCTCAATGGACCATTTACGGGCCACCAGCTCGTAAATTTCGCACTCTGTCGGTACAAAATTCTTTCCGAAATGCTTGTCATTGTTTATTCATAGCAACAGATCCATCTTCTTAAAAGCCTAGTGAGGCTCTATTTTCATCGCGTGAAACGGGCGCGCCAGTCTCATCAAGTGTCACACCTGCCAAACCAGCCATCTTCCATCCTTCTTCCTAGCCAGAAAGAGACTATAAATCGTTGGCATCAACGTCCTTCAACTTGTTCGGCTTCTTCCCCTTAATCATAGACTTCAACGCTGAAACGGACTCAGCATCGTCGATCTTCACCTGGAGCGCGCTACCCGCCATGCCAACTATCGTACAAAGAGCCTCACCACGGCAAGTGCTGTCAAGTGAAACGAGGTTGCCATGCATTTAGAGTGGCGGAAGGATAAAGTCGCTGATTCCGCGTTTGTACACTCCACCCAGAAGCTGAATTGAAATTTTTTAATGCGGCTATGTACTTATTTGCTCTTCTGTTATTAGAGTGATTTATGTTAAGATTTTGGAAGAATAAAAAAAATGCCCCAACTTTTGCCATATATAAAAAAATATCCCAACTTTTAAAAAAATAAAAAAAATACCCAGCACGTAAAATATCACCGGGGAGCCGTAATATTACACAACAGAAGATGTAAAATTCCATTTGAAATGAAGAACCCCCAGTTGCTTACAGAGCAGATGCGTGCTGCTACGAGCGAGATTCACAATATCTCGGACAAGTAGGACTCAACTTTAC